GTAACAATTAAGGTAACTAACTTGTCTTTCTTGGTACTGAAGCTGTCAACATTTGGATTGCTGGCCTTGATGGGTTCATATGTGCTCGGACCTGAGCCCTCTCACAATGAAAGGTCAACCTTCGACCACGTCTTAGGGCTGAGTGCGCAGGAGTTGACTAGGCCATGGGATAGGTGCATACCACGTCTTCTATCAGGTTCATCAAAAAGCTTTGTCAACTGTGAAAGGTATATATTTTCAGACAACGGCAACTGAGACCAATATGCAGGTCTTTTTGGGGATTTCAACATCGGTGGTTTTGCAGATCATACTTCACTGCTTAGAAGCAAGCTTCTAGCCTTCAGAGGTCTCCAAAAGAAGGGGCTTCCCTGTTCGATCTGGCTGGAGCTCAAAAACAAAAGACTCAGGGACAAACAAGTGTATGATTTACCAGATAAGACCCTGCTTTCGAGCCATGTTGCCATCTACAGGCCCTTCTGGTGCCAAGCTAGGGCCATTCTAGTGCGGTTTGCTTGTGTCAGGTGTCAGCACGTCCGAAGCAAGTAGCCGTGCCTTGGCAAATGACACATATATGCTGCAGGTGCTTTGTCTGCGCAGCTGGATGGATGGTTGCTCTAGGTGATCAAAAGGAACAAGAAAAAACATCCAATATAGAAGAAAAGATTGGAAAAGAAGAAAATGATTATTGCTATTGTTCTTATTATGACGAAGGAAGAACCCTGTTGGAATGGAGCCGACTGACTTCCACCGGTCCAAACCGCGACCCCACCCCAAACTGGTCGCCCAAGGGGCCACGTCCGCCACCTGCTCCGGGATCTCAGTCCTTGGTCGTGGGGGTCGAGTCGTCCGATTGGGCCGGGGGAAACATTTATTACTATGGAGTAAGGCCGCTACTAGTAGATCTAGTAGCGTCCTTGCTTCTAGTAGCGATGCCTTTTGTTCCTAGGAGCTTCTTGTTACTAGCCCCAAAAGGTATTCTCAGCAATCGAGAACATGGAACGCCGAAACCTGGCTGATGGAGGACAATCTCCGCACATTCATACAAATGTCTATGTCAGTCAGGATTGCAAACTTTGATGTTACTTGGGGCAGGGGGGGGGGGGCGAAAGCTAGCGCTCCAGAATGGGAAAGTGGAGGGCAGCGAGGTAGGAAAAAACACGGCGCTCTTTTCGGAGGCAGGGGTGAAGAGTCCTTTATATGTGGTTCTTTGCCCGGATCCTCCTGCGAGAGAAGAGGGAGAAGAGAGACGGAAAGACGAGAGACAGAGAGGAGAGAGAGAGAGAGAGGAGAGAGAGATGAGAGAGATATGAGAGAGATGAGAAAGAGATGAGGGAGAGATGAGAGAGATGAGAGAGAGATGAGAGAGAGATGAGAGAGATGAGAGAGAGAGAGAGAGACAGTGAGAGTGAGAGTGAGAGTGAGAGTGAGAGAGTGAGAGTGAGAGAGTGAGAGTGAGAGTGAGAGAGTGAGAGGGAGGGGGGGGGGGCTTCGACCTGAAAAATCAGGGGTTAGGATTTGCACCCGATCGAAAGAAACCTTGCTATCGCAAGAGTAACTCCAGCTAGCTTCGCTAGCTTTCGTGATCTATAGAATCATTTGTATGATTTTGTCTGTATTCTGTATGTTCTGTACATAAGGTTCGCAGTGTGCTTTTAGTCTTCAGGAGTGTGCGTTGCATGCCACTCACCGAGAATTGGCTTCCCCACCCCAGCACGAAGCAGAAGTGCGCAAGCCTCAGCATGGGCTTCACATGTGCCACACACCCAAGCAAAAGGGGGGTGTAGTAGGGTGCCTAGCTGTCTCCTCTCAAAGGACTTGGCCCAAAAATCTCTCACCGGAGCCATGCCACCGACGCGTCCTGTTCGGCGTTGTCTGCGTCGGCGCAAAAGGTGCCCGAGCGGTGCCAGCAACTTGTAGTAGAGGGAGTCACGGCCGCCCAACTCCCACAACTGTCTCAAGGCCTGGCGCTACTAGGAGCAAAGGGCATCGCTACTAGGAGCAAGGACGCTACTAGGGGCTCCTGGCCATACTACTAGGAACAAGAAGCCATTAGAAACAAATAAAAGAGAATTAAGTTTAATTAGAAGTCAATTCCAATTGAAACAAGAAGCTACTAGGAGACAACTGTCTCAAGGCCTGGCGATTTCGTGCAGAGAGTGGAAAACCGAGGTCGTGGTCGTACCACTTCTCCAATGGAAACCGATTCCGAGCTGGCATGGCCAGCCGTGTGGGTCAACACAGAAAACATGGTCTCTTTCCAAAAAATGAAGAACTGAATATGATCATATACCGGTTGATATTGTTGTTTAAAAGATGTTAAAAAGTCGTGTTTACAAACTCCAAGTGAAAACCCAGACCCAATGTCATCTTTTCAGTAGCACTCTCATCACTCTCTTTACTCCGAATATCTCCGAATGAATCTCTTGTTTCTCCTTCGGCTCACTTGTTCCCCCTGCCTGGAGGCAATGGAGCGACTTCTTCTGACGGCTGAAGACTTCGTAGGTCATGACCTCCAAACCAATGAAGAGTCTAGAAGCTGGAAGCTACTAGTAGCAGGGGCATCGCTACTAGTAACAAGTGCATCGCTACTAGTAGCTAGAAGCTACTAGTTCAGTCTCGTCCCATCTCAGTCAAGTCCCTGAGAAGGTCTCGTCACGCCGAGGGACCAGACGTTGGAACACCGTCAGGGGGCGAAGGTCTATTTCTCTGCCATCCCAGCATCCCAACAGTTCGCTCCGAGAGTTGGTTTAAGGAAGACTTTATAGGAAACCCACAGTTTTCGGGGATGAAAGCCGTGGTTTCTTGGTGCTTCTTGTAGCTGGTTCCTTAAACCAATCCATTGATTCACCCGCTCCCAGGCTGCCCTGCATGCGTCGCCGAGTCCAGAGCACTGAACGTCACCATGGTTCGCACCTGGGCTGGCTCCATGCGGCTGTCTCGCATGGCGACCGCGCGGATCGGAGGAGGCCGGCCTTTTCCACACAAAGAAAGGATGCGCGGCCACCCCCAAAACAATAATGGAGCGAGCTGGATTCCACCTCGAAAAACGGAGTTTCTTCATCGAAGAAAACAAAAACACCATGCATCTCATGATCCACCATACGAGTTTACAACCAATCCATTCTTTCTCCAAAAGATTCTAAAGCGCCAAAGCGCCAAAGCGCTGATCATGTTCCTAACCGATCCGTGCCCTCCGTGCCCGTTCGCCTTCTCCCCGCACCGAGATCTGCTGTTGGTGCCAGCACAGCCGGAGAGGCGAGGCGGCACAGCCACACGTGCCTTTTTCCTGGGAGGCCGGGCGATCTTGCAGGCCTGCTCCATGAAGTCTTGCTGCCTGAAGTCTTGCAGGCGAGGGCAGCAAGGATCGTGAGGTGGCCATTGCGAGGTGAAGGATGGTACCAGGGAAAGAGAGACCGTCGAGATCCATCCAACCCATTCTGGAATGAAAACGCCTCTGTCTCCCCTCTCTCTCTGTCTCTCTCTCTCTCTCTCTCTCTCTTTCTACTCTCTAGCACAAATGATTTTTGCAGGAAACAACTGGGAATGTCTCTAGAACCACTAGAAACCTCCTTTGATTTCGACTCCCACAGGCTGGCCATAGATGGAGGTTGCTTTCATGTTATGCGGTTTTTTGGGATGGTCAAAACAGAGTCTTCCCTGCTGCACAAGGAGCACAGCACAGGCAGAGGCGAACGGCTTCACACAACTGCACCAGCGACCCGGACCCTGCGTGTACCCATCTATTCTATATATATATAACTATACAATAATCCACTGTACTCGTTGGGGGCTGCAAAATGCTACAGAAGTCATGCTTTGGTGATGTCCGGGGGGGAACTTCCAGAGTCATCCACGGCGTGTGTTCGTTCTTTGGGGAAAAGGGAAGTGGAAAGAACCAAAATGGGGTCCAGCTGGCCCCCTTGCACTTCCATTTGGCTGGACCAGGAGAACGACCAAAACCTTCCCCCTTCGATTATACCGCCGGGGCACAAGAGCTTCTCACCCTCAGGATCATCGTCCACCTTCACAGGCACGACTCTCGGAGGATGAATTCGACAGAAAAGCTCTGGAGAACTGCTGCTTTGTAGTTGCAGCATGTCGCGGCCGTGAGCATGCAAAACGCCCAAGAAGTTGAGAGAGCATTCCAAGGTCGATATGGCCACGAGCCGCCCGAGGTGCTTCTGGAATGATCCAGAAAGAGGGCGCTTGCACTGTGAAACGAGATCAGGAGTCTAACTGAAAGTCTTCAACTGTAACTTACCTCGACATATTTTCTCCCTTTGCAAACAAGCGCCTGCCCTCATCCCAGCTAGGTGCTTCACCTTCTTAGGCTTTCCAGTGGCCGTTGTGGCTGGAGTCCTGGCAGCATGAACCCCCTGGAACCTCTGCCCTTCTCCAAAGGCCTGGCTTTGAGGATGGTGGGTGGTGCTAGTAGGATTTGAGCCAAGTGTCATCAGGGTGGCACATGAATTAGGGGACCTGTTCTTTTGAGCGCATAGTGGACCTTCCGCGACACTCTGGCAATCTAAACGACTTTTAAAGGTGGAAAAAATGAGTCGGATGTGAAAGAAATGTCCTCCGAGAGCCAAACTGCACACGTCCTAACATCGCCTGCATAACTCACACTGTGAGGTGATGAAACATCTTGCGTGACGAACTGCTCCTGCTGAGCTCAGCTGCCAAGCTACCCCTGGAAAACACCCTCTTCCCACACCAACTGTTCCATGCCGCGATCACGTGGCTTTCTGCTCTTGCTTTTGCGCCTCGACCGACTCGTCACGAGGGGGGGATTGTTGGCTGCAGCGGTACAGGAAACGGTGCGTCGTAACGGTTGGGCCATCTCTTCTTCTTTGGCCAATGATGCCTGTTTGCCTGCCAAAAAGGCTTGATGCCAGGTACCATATTCATACATATGCCTCTGACAACAAGTCAGTCCGCGCACCACCTAAGCAGCTTTCTCCATCATGGCGGGCTAAATGCCACCTCGAGTGCGGTAGGAACTACGGCCCCTGTACATCGAGCCGGATAGGCATTGAGGATTCGGGATCAACCGTGGACATGTCAGGATACATGGATTCACAGCACCCAGTATTTTCTTTGATCCCGAATCGCCGGATGTCGGCGTTGCTTTGCCCGGCACTGCGAGCCTCCGCTCGCTTCTTCATCAGCTCTTCGGTGGGCCGGATGCTAAAACGCCCCGAGTTGATCAACTCGTACAAAGCGGCGTTGGAACCAAGGACCTTGGTTAGACCGTCTGCCGGCATGGCTAAGTGATCTACCCATTTGACCTGTCCTCCAAGTTCCTTTAGATCTTGGCGGATGATCTGGATTTCTATCGCGGTCCTCTTGTCCTGTCCGCCTAGACAGTCCTTGGACAAATGGTCGTACAGCGATTTCGCGTCGACCACCGCGAGAGATTCCTGCAGGCCTCGCTCACTCAGCTCAGAGCTCATCACCAGGAGCTCCTCACCCTCCAGCCGGCTGCGCCACGCTTTGATGTTGAAGGTGCCGTCAGTCAACTCCTGCACCATCACCATGATCCATAGCAGCTCGGCAAGCCCCCTCGACAGGCTCTGTGTCTCTGCAGCCAGAGTCGAATTGACAATTCGCTGCAGCTTCCCTGACCTCCAGGCCAAGACATTCGTGGTGACTGCGGCTCCATCGCGGAGGTTGTTCTCGTGGGCGAGGACCAAATGCCCTCCCTGGGAGTGGAAGCCCGCGTTAGCAAATGAAGCGTCGGTCACGACGCTGAGCCGCATCTTTTTCAGGGGTTGCACCTTTAGGCTCAGCTCAGAATGGGCTTTGAGCTCTGTCACAACCTGGTTAAGCTGCAGGATGTCCTCGATGGTCAGCTTGGAGAGCTTTGATGCGATCAGGCTTGAAGGTCCGGAGGCGTCCGGTCTCCCCTCTCTGCTCAGCCAGTTGAGAGCGCTGATCTCGGCCTCGTTGGCCATCTCTTTCTTCTGGCTCCTTCGCCCCTTTTCCAAGTCCACCGGGTGAAGTCTTTCCTCAATGAACTTCCTCATGTCCACCAAGAAGCCCCCATCTGGTAGTTGACGAACTCGACGACCATTAAATGCGCACCCGTCCTTCTCATTGGCCAGTTGCACGTATTTGCCAAAGACATACTTCTTCTTCAACTGCTCCATTCGGTCGTGGTGTTCTTGGTGCCCGACCGTGAACAGGTCGTCCACTTCGATGGCGATGGCCCCCAAAAGACGTTTGCGTGTCCGGTCATACAGCTTCATGATGCAGGGGTCCAGAGCGGACATCTCGTATCCCAGATTCTTCAAGTCTTCTGTGAGGGATTTCCTCCAATGTAGAGGGGCGTCAACTAGCCCGTAGCATCCTGCGATGATTTGAACTATCTGCTCTGGATGCAAGCCGCTCACTCCTTCCTTGGGTTGCTGGAAGTATAGCCGTCCTTTCGGTCGATGAAGCGGCTGGCTCTGGCAAAAAGCGTTCTTGAGATCTCCCACCGTGGCCTTCATGTTCTCGTTGGCGGCGATCTGCAGGAGGACGTTGAAATTCACAGTATTTAGAGTGGGAGAGAAGCGCTCCAAGTCCAGGATGTCTGGGTCCAGGTCGCCCCGGATGCATAGCCGGGATTTCTTCATGGCCGGCTCCCCGGGCTGTTCTCCAGGCTTGTATCTTCTTGCTATCTTTGTCGGCAGGATGCGGTCTTCTTGACCTTGCTTTTTCAGCTCTTCTCTGACCTGTCGGGACTCTTCTAGGCCCAGCACCTTCACCGCCCCGCTCTGGGTGACCTTGTTCCACTCGGAGAGGTCGGAAATCTTCCATTCTTCTTGATCCTGTGGGCTTTCTTTGCTAAGGCTGACTTCATCTTGACCTTTCTTCTCGGCCACATAGTTCTTCGCCTCCTTGATCTCCTTCAGGTAGAACACGGTTTTGCCTTTCCACCATTCATCTAGACTCTTCCGTTGTGGCGTCTGCCAGTCGTCTTCTTCCATCATCCCTTCATGTGCTTTTCTCACATGCGTCTCTCGACGCTCCGTCAGGAAAGTCCACGGCAGTGGGGCGTCGGAGTTGAGCTTCGGGTCGAACTTGGCCTTTCTTTTGCGTCGATGGTGCCTGGTCAGCGTGCCATTCTTCCAGTCCAGCGACCACTCATCTTTCTCAGCCCTGGTTTTGGCTAGCTGCCTGATCTTCGTCTGTCTGGTCTGGTTCTCCTCCTCCATGGCCTCTTCAGCTTCAGCTAGAAACCATTCCTGGTCCTCAAAGTAGGGGGCGATGTGGTCCTGCCTGGCTCTCTGTTGCCATCGATAGATTGGCCCTGATGTTGGACCTGGCACTCCATCCAGCCGATTTGCATCCAGTTCGGATTGCCTCAATGCTTCTTGCACCTCATGTGACATCGGGTCTATCGGAGGTCGGTCCACGTTCACCGGCGGCGTCTCTGGCACGCCTCCTGGAAACCCAGGATGGTGTCTGGCCTCAGCTCTGCTTGCTTCGCTGTTGGCCCTTGATAGAGGTGCTTCTTCTTGTTCTGGTTCGTTGATGGATCTTCTTCTTTTGACTTGGCCGGCTTCTTCGGGATCTTCTTCGTGCTCCCCCTCGACTTGTGTAGGAGTGTATTCCACTTCTTCTACGGCTTCTTCGAACCGTGGGTGTTGGTCTTGTCTTCCTTGTTGTTCTCTGTCTCCTTCTCCTCCATCTTCCTCCGGGGGAAACTCTTCTTGAGTCAAGTCTTTGTATCCCAGCCGGTGAGACCCTCTTTTGAGCTCTTCGACCAACTCCTGGCACTCTTGCACCACCGCCTCGATTCCCATCTTCTCATCGTTGGTGGCAGGGCGGCATTGTTCTCGAGCGACTTTCCAGAGCTCACCCAGCATCGATACCCAGAGGTTCGCTCCATCTGGAGCTATGACTACCCCGGGGCCGACCCATCTTGCCTTTGTTGAGAGTGAGGCGTCATCGACGGGTCCCCCGTGCTTCCGCTTCTTCATGCGAGGTACTCGAAACACGAACACATACTCCCCGGGTTTGTAGTCCACCCATACTCGTGGACGTGCTCGAAGGGCTCGCTTCAGGGTGTTTTTGGCATTGTGCTCGCAGAATGCCTTGCGCGCGATGTTCCGCATGTGGTGCAACTTCTCCAAGTCATCGGTGATCACCCCGTTCAACAGCGTTGGGTCTATTGCCTCATCTGACATGATTGACGTCGGCAATCTTGGCCACTGTCCAATCTGTCGTTGAATCGGTGCGAAGCCAGATCTATTGGAGTACCTGTTCTTGGCCTGCTCGACCTCGACCATGAGCTGCTTGAGATCCTTGGTGCTTTGAATCACCACCTCACTTCTGGCCTTCTCCAGGAGCTCCTTGAAGAGCCCTCCGTGGCGTTCTGTTTTCCCTTGCTGCCAGGGTGCCTTGGAGGCGATCTGGTGGATGACGATCCCTTCAGCAGCTGCCTTTTGAATGAACTCGCCCAAGAACTCTCTGCCGGCATCGCAAGTGATGACTTCTGGATGTCCGAAGGTCCTGGCCCACGTAGACATGTAGGCCTCCCATACCTCGTTCGGGTTCTTCCCCAAAAGGACCTCGCACATCTGGTAGTTGGTGCCCCAGTCCAAGACGTTGAGAACCGGGACAGTCTGCTTCCCGTCTCCAGGTGCCGGCACGTAGAACAGATCCAGCCCCAGGACCCGGTTGGGCTGGTAAGCCCTTGGCAAAGCAGTGGGTCGTGGTGCTTTGGGATGCCTCTTTGACTCACACACATCGCACTTGAACTTCTTTGCAGCCCACTGAACGATCTCCCCTCGCACTCGAGCTGCGCGAAGAAACCTGATGAACTCTCTGTCCTGGGGATGCCCGACTGCTCGATGCACTCTCATCACGGCCTTCTTCTCCTCCTCCGTTGGGTTGTAGTCTCCGGGGCCTTCATCCGGCACTGGATCAAGTTCGTCCTGGGCCTCCTCTTCGTCCTCGTCCTGATCTTCTTCCATTGCATAGGTGGAGGTGCCGTTGAGGTACTTGAGGATGCCGTTCGAGATCGCCTGGCACAGCCCGTCCGGGTACACTTGAGCCAGGAGCGGCCTACCATTCTCCAGTGGGACATGGAAGTGGCTCTTGTCACATTTGACCTCCAGGGCCTCCAGAACCGGAGGCATATTGGAGAGCCACCTTGTTCTATTTCTGTTCAAGCCAGCGCCGTCCACGTTCAACCCGAACATACACTGGTCGCACACGACGGTCTGGACTCCGCGGCTGGCCGCCAAAGACTGCAGTTCGGGCTCTTGCCATGAGGTGGCCCCGTCTGGATGCTCAAAAAGTATTGCCCCTCCTCTTCTCAGCTGCCAGCGCAGGACTGCGATGGCCAAATGTAGACGCTCTCGTCCAGTTTGAAAGAGGTGCACTCTTTTCTTTGGATCCATTCGACCCCAGTTCACTGCCTGCATTCTGCTGAAGGCCTTGCATGGGGGACACGCCAAGATCACTTCTGGCCGCTCTTCTCTCAAAGCCTTCCACATGGCCTTCCGCTCTTCTGGTTTGCTCAGGTCCCATCCGGTTAGGAGGTCAAAACTGGTGCCCACATCATAGCCTCTCTTCCTCAGGATCTTGGTGATGCGGGGCGGACAAAAGACTTCCGAGAGGACTTTTCCGGCGGCAGGCATCTTCTTCATTGCCGTTGACAACATCTGCCGCTCCTTTCTCGAAAAGTGGGAGCTTTTGAAGTCCTCCCACATGTCTTGGAACTCGCCTCTCCGGGTGTGCCTCACCTGGACATAGATCTCGACGGCGTCCTTCGGGATGACGTTGGAGGCTTCAATCCAATCGCCGGTGGCATTCTTCATCCAGAAATTAAATTGCCATAGGTCTCCACCAGCGGGTTGCTTCCCTGCTGAGCCCTCCGCGCCCAGCGAATGGCGCTGCTGGCGCAACACCTGGTCCACCCGTCTCCTAGCCGTCGAACTCCTCCACATCCACCACTGGCACGTTTTCCACTCTGCTGCTGTTCACCGACACCTGACACCAGCTGTTCCCCACCGTAGGAGCCGCCGCTGAGGCCTCCCTCTTCGGGCTCTTGGACCTTCTTGGGTTCAGGGATGAAGCCGCCGTCTTCACCTCGTCGAGGTCGACCTGGTCCTTCTCGTCGATCCATTCGAAGAGGTCGCATCGGCGTTGGACGCATTTCCAAAACATGCGCCCCTTCCTCGGTCCGTCCTTCTTGACGATCAAGGCCTCGGCCGGGCGCCCACACAGGCAGAGCTTGCTCGGTCTTGGTGGAGGTGATCTCCTGGAGCTTGCTCGAGGGTCGTGAGCCGTGTCCGGACTCTTGGCCTGGATGAGCATCTGCATGAGCTTCTCCTGTCGGATCTCCTGCTCGCGGTTCGCCACCGTAGCCCTCTTCACCTCCTCGGCTATCTGTTGCAGCTGGACTGCGTTCATCTGAGATTGCTGAACAGAGGATGCGGCCTGCTCGTTCCTCAGCTGCTGAAGCATGATCTGGGCATGAGTGCCCATCTCGACTCTCAGGTCCTGCTTCATGGCCATCAGGGCCTCCAGGGTTTCTCCCCCGGATGGAGGTGTTGCCATCATGGCATCGTCTATGATCCTGCCCTCGCTCCTCATCGGTGTCCTTGGTGCTGGAGTGGAGGTACTCGGGCTCTTCGGTGATGTGGGCTCCCCCTTCTGGTACTTCATGCTCAAGGGGCCGTCCTTGATCTTCTTCTGAACCTCGGCTGCTCGCTCGGAATGGGCCCACCTGGTATGGCATGCTCGGCACACTATGTACGAGCTCGAACCATTTCCGCCCCCTTTGAGACTGGACTTGGGCGGAAGTCGTAGGCGCATTCTTGCTCTGGAGGGGCTTCAGCACTTGTGCATGCATGATCACCTCCGAGTAGTAGTCCGCGATTGTCTCCAAAGACTTGCGCCCCGGCCGCTGCGAGTCCAAGTCCAAGCACCAGGCCTCTGTGGTGTCCTGGAGGGCGGCGAGAACCAGCAAAATGCCGATCTTGTCCATGAGGATTCGCCAGTTTTTGAGCGGGATACGAGAGTTGTATACCCGCGGCCCGACTTCCATCGGCACTGGATCCGTGGAAGGAGTAGCGCCCACCAATGCTTTGGCTTTCTTCAGCAGCGACGCCATGTGGTGGTGATGGGCGAGAGGCGTCTCCGGGCCGATCGAATTGAGCACCGGCGAAAAGTGATTGAGCCGGCATTGCTGTGGTGGCAAAACAGAGTGATTCCATCTCAAACTCCTCTTGCGTACCGGCTTCCGGAGGAACCAAAAACTTGCCCTCTGCGAACGACATGACGTTGACGGCGACATGACCGCTTGCGAGTTCACGAAGTGGTAGAAAAACCTGATGTGAGGGGACCTGCATGACCATGTTCTTCAAATCGATGACCGCCTCCAATGCCCTGAGAAGTTTTACCGGAAGTAGAAACGGGACGTCACCCTGCACTACGGTGGTCTCCAAAACACCATTGATGCCTCCAAGCCCCAAAGGAATCAATGCAACCCCTTCGACCACCGCGTTGCCTCCTACCTACCCCCTTGGCGAATGACTGCTTGGGAATCCACTTGATTCGCAAACCACGACCGGCGAGTTCCCGTTCGAGACGATGAAGAGACTCCTTCCCGATCAAACCACCCTCAGCTGCCGTGTCCACTATCCCCTCAACCGCTTGGGTGGTGATGCCACAAAAATTCACCTTTCCCTCCTTGACCATACATGCCCGCTCCATGTATCGCTTCGAAGGGTTGGCTCCATTGTTGAACTCCGTCGAGGTCTCTTGTCGAGCTCGACTTTCCTTCACAAACTGTCGCAACCAAAAATCGTGCTGCGACGTGGAGAAACTATCGCTCTCAGATCGTAGTCCCACGTAGAAGGTGCGGCTCTCTCCTTTTCCGGCTTGGCTCGCCGGTGGATTTTGGCACTCTCTTTCCCAGTGCCCCACTTGCAAGCACTTCCTGCACCTGGTGCGCAACTTGAGCTGCTCGATGTGAACGCGGCGTTTGCCCTTGTCTTTGCCTTTCTGGAAGGCGTTGATCTTGCCTTTGCCTTTCCCTGGGAAGAAGCCTCGTCCCAGCCGTTGATCTTTGAGTGCCTGACGGGTGTCATTGTAGGAGGCTAAGGCATTCATCACGTCTTGCTCGTCCATGACCTCATCAAGGTCCCCATCGGCCAGGAAGACGTAGTTCTCATCGTCATCCTCCCAGGCCGCTGCGCCATCGCCGTCCGCTTCGTAGTGGATGCCGGAGGACCCCTCAAGGACATAGCTCTCTTCAGTGACATAGTTTCCCTTGGCCTTGTCCTTCTCCTTGATGACCTTGTCCAACCTCCTCAAGGCCTTCGTGATCTCGCCACGGCCATATTGGCCTTCGGCCCAGGTCAGCAGCCGCTGGTCCTGGGCTTCCGTCAGGGAGGCCTGTCGGTACAGTATGTACCCTTTGGCCCCGTCGGGCAATTCGACGCCCTCCTTGGCGAGGTTGATGAAGGCCCGCTCCATCCTCTTCGTGTACTCGGCGAAGGACTCCTTGTTGCCTCGAGGCGGTCCGTAGACCGCGACTTCAAATGCCCTTGGCAATGAAACCTCAAGGTGTGGCAGAAAGTAGTCACGGAGCTTGCCGAGGATGTTCTTGACTCCCTGCTCAGTGGCAATCTCCGAGATCTCCATGTCGTCCACGGCCGTCATGGCCACACCTGAGAGCTGGCGAAGCAACTTGATGCCTCGCTTTGGTTTTGGCACCTCAGTTTCGAATTCCCACAAGGCCACCTGCTTCTCGTACTGGCGGAACGTAACCTCCGGGTTCTCTCCGTCGTATGCAGGTGGTGGGTCTCGATCTCTCGGTGCCCCCTCCGTCCTCCCGGCATGACCTCCGGTGCTAGCTGCAGCAAAGCCGCCTCCGGTTCGTCGGGGTTCATGTTCTTCCTCGCTCATGGTCGAGCCCTTGCCACCTGGATCCGCTCCACGAGGCTCCGCGGTACCACTGACAACAAGTCAGTCCGCGCACCACCTAAGCAGCTTTCTCCATCATGGCGGGCTAAATGCCACCTCGAGTGCGGTAGGAACTACGGCCCCTGTACATCGAGCCGGATAGGCATTGAGGATTCGGGATCAACCGTGGACATGTCAGGATACATGGATTCACAGCCTCATATGCCCGTTAATTTCCCATTGGGTGTTCACTTGGGGCCATATACCATATCCGGTTTTGTATGCTGGTAGGACTACTTTGGGACTTTGATGCACCTGGGGGCCAGTGGTCGGGCGTGGGGTAACGAGGGTCGAATGGCAGCCCCATCTGCCAGGTGTTAGGCCTCACCAAGCCTGGACATGTTCAATTGCTCCATGGATTTTCTCTTTCACGTCCCTTTCACAAGTGCCAAGCCTCTCTCTTTTTCTTGTGTTTCATCTTCTTCTTCTCCTCTGCACTGAGCTCATTTTCGCCGCCTGCACGACGTGAAAACGAGCGCTCTAAGCGCAAATCAAGCGCAGCAAAGCCAATCAGTTTTCTGAGGCCAACCTTAATGAAAAATCATCATATAAAGAGAAATCACACATGTGTTCAGCCAAGAAATGATCATGGGTGATCATTGGATGCAATTTGGAAAACAACAAAAGTATGCAAGCAGCCGCTGTGGATTCGGTGCAGCAGGTGTTCCCCGCAGCATGTGCCCTGTAAACTTGCTGGCCAACTCCCCCCCCATGTCCAAATGACCCCCATCTGCCCCATCTGGAAGCCTTCCTTGGAAGCCCCATCTGCTGAACCTCAGACAGTCATGTTGTTCAGCTTGGAACACCAGGAAGCCAGGCACTCTCCCTGTCGGGTATGTGAACATACCTGTTGAGAAAAGGGTGTCCAAACAACATTTGAGCCGCCATTTGTGCCCCACTGACTTGGCTCTTCTCGGGTCCATGTGAGTTTCGGGAGTGTATATTTACCGTTCTTGTTCCTTTTTTGTGTGTGTGTGACACCGTGAAACCATGGGTTTCGCGTGTTCCCATTGCAGTAGAAGGATGGGCGCGAAAACAAGGCACGGTGGTGAAGCCTCAAACGAGTCTCATTGGAGTCTTCCTTCTGACCCTTCCGCAAACGATCCCATGAAGACCTTTCTTTGATCAGTGGTCTTGGGGGTCCATGTGAGTCTCCAGGGTAGGTAGCTTCCATTCACCATGTCACCAGCCATGATGGACTCACCTCACATCCCCTGAGACGACGGGCCAGCTTGGTCGTCGCCTGAAACACCAGGTTTCTGAACGTCAGGTGCATCCCCACCCAGGCGCTGGGTCGGTTGGGACCAGCGGGTGATGACTGAGTTGACCAAGGTCTCTTTCAGGATGTTTGTCCTAAGCAGCTCAGGAGAAAGTACATAGAGCCAGAAGCTCGAGTAAGTAAGGGTGCCATTTCCAAATTCCACCATTTCGTGCATCTCTTCACCCAGCAAGGCCCTGCTGAAGGAAGGCCGGTCGTGTCCAGATCCTCGCGGGTCCGACAAAAATGCTAGCCAGTTCAGTCCAGGGTCTGTGCACAAACGGACCTGTCGTGTTGCAGCAAATCGCTTGTGGCACGAACGTGAAAACAATCCTGGATCTGCGAGTGCGTTGTTCGTGCGTGTTCTCTGCGAGTGCGTTGTTCGTGCGTGCTCGCGCTCCAGAAGGACCAACATGGCAGGGATGCTCTCGCAACTCACAAAAGGTACCTAAATATATACTAAAGCCCAAACATGACCCCTGTGTTGATAGGAAAGGGGTGGTTGGTGGTTCAAACAAGAGGTCACTCAGCTGTCACAGGGCAAACATTCTTTGTTTTTTTCAACAAAGCACGGTCAAAATGGAGTTCTTTGCGAGGAATGTGCAACACATTTCATGTGTTTGAGTCCAAATATAAAATCCCCAAGACTGTTTTAGGCCAGTCCCTATATATATAAACCACCACTTAGGATTTGAAGAGTCTTGACGATGATGTATAAAGATTGACTCCCCACACTCACGGCTGTTCTGGGGCACCCCTACCATCCACACCTGACATACTCACGGTTTTCTGCGGGCTGCTTGCGCGAGACTCCTTCTCTTTCCTAGTATCTCTGACATCGCGCAGGTTAAGACTGGTCAAGAGGTCCTCCCTTGTTTGCATTTGCTCAAAAATTCATCAAAATGGTTGTCCAACCTCCTTTTCCTCTTAAAAGAGTATCGAGGACAGGCAAGGACGAGCCAGGGTCGAGTCGAACCACCAGAGTTTGTGCTGGACAAAGCGAGCATCCGCTTCGCAAGACAACGCCATACCCATTAGGCAACTGGCTCCTAACTATTGTGTTTTGCAATTTGGCATCACATAGTCTGAATGGCCTGCGGGGCTGCTCTTGAGTCTTGAGAGTTGGCTCTGTATGAAGGCGTTTATTGGGACCCCTTTTTCTAACCCAAATCTCCCGAAATCCTCCACTGCTTCAGATCCCCAAGCAGGCCAGTCGCAGCCGGAGACTTTAGCGTCCTAAGTTGCTCAGCGCGTAGTTCCGAGAGTCAAATCTCAACCACACTCGCGCAAGCCATTGAACCATTCCCAAATGATCAAGCGATGAATTTGTTCTCAGGCTTTGCCAACAAAAATTGTCTTTGGCACTCGGCATCATTAGAAGCTGCTCTGTCACTCTGGGGTGGTCAGGGTGTGTCGAAGAACCGGTCCCACCCATTCAGGACCCTTCGGGTGACCAGTTTCATGGCGCTGCGGTCGACCAAGGAGAAGAACAAAACCGATCTGAACAGCATCCCATGCTCCCAACGAACTCAAAGAGCTCTTCCTCCGCTGAACTGCGGCCAACCTCGGGACCTTCCCCCCTACAGACCTCAGGATGGTAAATCGACTGCACCGTACGGCACGTCGGTCTGGGTCGGTCTGGGCCCATCTCCAGTACTCCTAGTGGCCTCCTTTGCTCCCAGTAGTACGGCCAAGAGCCCCGTTCGTAGCGTCCGATCGCTCCGTTCGTAGCGATGACCTTTGCTCCTGATAAGGCCGAATCCATCCAAAAGCCCGGTTTGTGTTGTGGTTTTTCCGTGCGCTCGGAGCGCAAATAAATCCCCGGCCCTCTATTGCTGTTTGTTGTCTTCCCGTGTCCCCGTGGCACCTCAACTGGCCAAGCGGCGTAAAGCTCCAAGTAGATCTTCACGGCATCCTGGCAGTCCGACCGCTCGGTATCGGTGACCACCCGGGTGCGGCCAAAGAGACGCCTTCATGTCAGCAAAGGAGAAAGCAAAAGCAACACTTACGAAATGGTGGCACTGGCAAATCTGTATGTTGGTTAATTCGTGATGCTCACCTGTCTTCCTTAACCAAAGGAGTGGCGTTTGTAGATACTGTTGTGACTACAGTAGTAGGATCATCCTATGCTAAAACCATCGGCAACAGGGATGATACTGGAAAAAACATTGCACCCTTGCAGGACAAACCAGCCCGGTCCCTTTATTTATAAACCGAGCGATTCACAAGTTTGAGAAACATCAACCAAAGGTGGTGAGTCATCAGCTTGCGGTGACGAGCGGCATCGAAATAGAGGATAGGCCTTTGTCCCCGAAGTTCCATCTCGGAAAAGAAGGCAAAACATGCTGTAGACCCTAGGAGTCCAAGCCTATTAGAAAAGAAACAAAAAAACAGTTAGGTGAAAAGAGGAATCTACGAATCTCCTTTACTTCGGTGGTGCAAAATCGTCGAACTGGGCTTCTATAGGCTAGTGAAGCTCCAAGAAAAGAAGATGTCTATGTTAATGAACTACTAAGTAACGCGCACCCTATTTTCGTAGAGTTAGGGCTTCTATGTTCATGTTCACTGGGTTCGTCACTCTGCTTCCTGTGAAGGGGCGGTCCTTTCCCCGATTCACAAGGCTTCCCTGGCCTTGGCAGCCCGCCGGTAAAACTTGTGGGAGTAGAGCCTCGCAGGTCTGCGTGTCGTATACGGCCGGAACAGCCTGTCCAAGGCCTATGGTTCTTAAAAAAGATGAAAAAGAAGAAGAAGAAGAAAGAACAAAAAGAATTAGCACCACGGATTTCGGGTGGTTATTGGAGCCACCCGAACTCCATGGTGCTGGCAAGTGTCTTCTCAGACTTCTTGCTCAGGACTCATCTAGAACTTCCCTGCCCAAGAACGGTCCGAAGCCCGGAACTCAGGCCTCTCTTGCATCCGAAGCATGGACACATAGGCCTATCGAGCCGGGGGGACCTTCCCGCACAAATGCGACCAGGAGAACCCAGCGAATGCGATGGAAGCACACGGAGCGCAGTCGGGGTCGCTGTTTTCCCGTCGGCGGATTTCGAGGCTTCTCTAAAAGGCTCCAAAACGGGTGGGGGAAGAGTCAAAAGGTTCCACACACATCCAGATTCCGATGAGGCTTTGATTTGCTTTGATGATGCCGCTGCGCCCGAATGGACATCGCCTTCTCCCCCCTTCACCCCAGTGACGAGGGTTGCCAAAGGCCTTGAGAGTGGTCTTCCGCAAACAATAGTTGTGGAAGTCGAACTGATCTTCCGCGATGTCGCTGAAGTGCTTGAAGGTCTCATGGAACCTCACTATAGGTCCGGTGCTGGGGCGGAGGTTGGGGCATTTGGAAGGAAGGAAAAAGGTTTTCTTTTGGAAGCAAAGGATGTCGCCCCAGAGTTGTGCGCGGCTCGGCTGAGTATATTAACCCTCCACCGACCCAGAGCGACCATGTCGCCTCAGAACGACGGGAACCCGTCCGTTGAAACGCAAATGCTCATTCCTCTCGTTTCCAGCACGTGAGGCGGTCGATGGAAGTGTCACGGGCATCGAAGACAAAAAGGTCTCTTCCAACTTCCAACTGACAGCGAATCCATCCAAGAATGGCAGCGAAAGGTCCAGATGAGAACGTGGCAGGTTGAGTCCACCACCCGCCCCGACCCTGGAAATCCCGGTTGGCCCACCCACCCGTCACGGTCCGTCAGCCGTTTTGCCACCCTTCAGGTCGGTCTATGTGCCGATCAAGCCGGTCGCCCCTTCAGGGCGAGGCCGCCGCGGCGTGCGCGCGGGTCGCGCCGACGACCTGCACGAGCTCTAGGGACTTCGCCTTGCCGCCTGGGGTGCTGTGGGGTGGGAAGGGAGGTGTGAAGGGCGGGCTGCAGGTGAGGTGGGACGTGGAAGTGGAAGGTTTTAAAGGTGAAGGGGCAACTACTGGAGCTGAAAACTGTCAAGTGGCACAAATTGGGAAGTCAAACAGATTTGTGCCAAGGGAGCAGCAAGTGGGGCCGGGTAAGTTAAACCTAGAACCTGCAAACAACCGATAGGTAGGGAAACGGTAGGTAGAGAAACATCCTCTTTATATACTGGGTCTTGAACTGAACTTGTAGCAGAAGTTCAGAGTCGTGCCCCTCTTGGTACCCTTCCATCGTGCGCACGACGAGTATCTGAATTAAACACAACTGTACAAGACAAGTGCGGCGTCATGCGGACACCTTTGTGGGGAAGCTGAAAAGGCACATCGAATTACACTCCGAACTAATCATGGTTATATACGGCGGCATGGGTTCGGATGGCCGTTTTCCTCTATAAGTAGTAATGCCCTTTGCTACTAGTAGCTTCTTGCTCCTAGTAGTAAGGCCAGGAGCCCCTAGTAGCTTCTATATAACTCGTTTTCCACTTCCATATATGTTCCAGGGAGTGTAATTTGGGCATGTCATGGAACTGTCAGACAAGAAATGTCTCCGCAGTGCGACATGCAGATCACAGGTGTCATGCACCAAGAAGACACGGATCGGTCACCCCTGGTGATTCAGTCACCCATGTTTTTGCGCCGTGTTTTGGCAAGTCACCGACCAAGGGATTGGTCTCATCCTCGGCATTGCCATCGGGCACATCATTCTCCAAGTCATTGCGGGGTGGATCTGAGCCATTGAGCTCCTTCTCATGGTTCTGAAAGAAGACAAAGCTACCTCGACGGCCAACCCAGTGACCCAGTGCTGACCCAGTGGTGACCGGCTTCGGGCGGGGCCGCAAAAAGGGGGCATGGCCATGGCAGGTCCGTGGTTCTGGTGTTTGGTTCGAAAAGGTAGATGGAACACATTTGACCTCTGCCTTTGATAGGAAAAGGCTGTATTTTCGTGGGTGGGTGGTCCAACGCAGGTTCTGAGCAAAGTCAAAGCAGACTCTTTCTGTTTTCGTGGTCGATTCGTGCTGGGGTTTCCCACTGGTGTTGAAGGCTATTATCGGATAAAAATGGATAAAGGGACTTCGGTGGTCCATCCTTTTTGGGGGGTCAAGAAGCATCATTAAGCCATCTAGCCCAGCCCCATGCCCCAACCATCCAACTTGCCCTGACAACTCGCTGTTGGGCCCCAGCGTCGGGAGGCTTTGAAGGCCAAGGCCAGGCACAGGATGATCAACCCCACCTGACCACAACTCAAAGGAAAGAGGTTTCAAAAGAAGCCGGTCCAATTCCTATCACACCCTGACCACAGTGGAAAACACCTGACTGGTCCCTGACAGTCCATCCCTTTTCGGACCGAGTTCGGTGCGAGGACCGAAGAAAAGGACTACAACGAAATTGAAGCAGGGATTTCCATTCGGCTGGTGCTGATAGCGCTGCTCTGAATGTGACAAAGACACTCTCTGCACCCAGGTGAGAGGCTGCGTTTGGGTGAGATAGGAGAGAAAGATCGTGGTCACTTGCCGCGCATTCATGGCCGCAGCCAGGGCCAACGCGCCAAACCGCTGGACCATCGAAAAAATGTAGAACTGCCCGGCAGCAGCCTCAGGAGAAGGGACGAGCCCGTGTTGTTGTTCTTTTCAATCCTTGGGTCAAGCCATCGAAGAGGAGAATGCCCTCTGTCATGGCAAGTGGTAAATCGAGAATGTGTTGGAAGGAGGAGCTTTGACTCAATCATCAACAGATTCAGATGAAGTGTATATGCCATATGCGTTCAACATCTTTCAACAGTTCTGTCTGTTCCCGCAATTGCTTCCATGAGAGCGTCGGTCGGCCAATCCATCGGTACTTTTTTAACAGCACGTCCTTACATATCTGAACTGCAACACCATACGAAGTAATGTTCTTTGATGTTCAGAGTGTCTTGCATTCTTTGGGCAATTATCTCAGTGGGTGCTGCACATCTCAAAAAGCCCAACAAACCACTAAACCACCCATGCGGATCCACCCTCGGCTGTCCGCCTCTGCCGTCGAAACTCTCCCCGAGGAGGGGGAAGTTGGTCTCCCCGGTCTGGCGGAATTCTGGATTGGCTTCGCCGGCGGCTGGGCCGTTTGGAAGTTCTGTTCTGTTTTACTTCCCTCCTCAGCGTTTCTGGAAGGTGCAAATGCTCCAAGCATCTTGAGGGATCATGAGTCCAAGCGTGTGTCCCGGTGCTTCCAACAAGTGGCTGAGAGGGAGAGGGTCAGCACATGGCCGGCAAAGCCGCTGTGAACCGCCACGAAGGAGGCGCAGTATGGGAACCTCTTGGAAGTGCACAGTCTGAGGGTTGCTGAACCCGACACCATACTGGGACCACGATGGAAGCGGAAACTGGTTCGCAAGAACGGCCATGCACCACACCAGCCATGGAGTTAACCAAGAGCGATCGATCAGTTACTATGACGGTCTTGTCATGTCTTGACCCATCCCAAAAAATGCAAGCACGCATGGAAACATCCATCGCCCAGAAGCCTGCCAGTCGCCAGCAAGATGCTGGTGGCCACAATGGCCGAACTCAAGTTCATATAGAGCATCTGGTTGTACTTGGACATATTGTCCTGGGGACACAGAACCCGTCAGACAGGCTAAATAATAATCCTTGTTACTAGCTTTTGTTTTTACCTGGATCGAGTGGGTGGCATCCGATTTTAGACGTAGGAGGTTCTCCACCGTCTGACTTGACTTGGGATCCATCAAAAGGTCCACTAAGTCCACTCTGGAAACCATTTTGAGCCATTCCCGGGAATTTGGACCCCAAGCAAACAATTGAAACAACCTAGGCTGAGGTCTCAGGAACCAGAATGAGACGTTCCCAAACCGTGAAAGATCGGGACGCTCAGTCAGTGTGGCTCTGCAAAACTGCCAAAACATAACCAGCCCATGTGAGAAAGTGCTAGTAAGCAGGCATCTGGACTGTCCGGATCACGAGTGTATTTTTGATACTACTTTTCGTGACCTGGTGAGTCTGGTGTAACAGAAGTCTAGCTGGCTGAGAAAAATAAAAGACCGCACAAAAAAAAAGCACCGGGAAAGTTCCAAAAAGCCCGTCTTGCTCCAGTTGGCCGGAGAAACCCCGGACGCACCCGCTTCTGGGCCTCTTTGAAGAGCTTCTCCTGAAAATTGCTGGTAAAGCTGTCAAAGCCCAGGAAAGCGGCCAGCAGGCAGATGCCGTAGATGCTGGATCCCTCGGCGTTTTCAGAGCCTCAGCGTGTTCGTTCGATGTGTCCCAGACGGCCTGACGTCACCTTGGCCTGAGGCCCGCACAGACCGCAAGAAATGCACGCCTTCCCAAGGAGGATCCTTTTGGGAAGAGGAGGGGTCAGTTTGCATGTATCCTTTCCATAAATCAACCAACCCAAGGGGTAAGAGGCCCAGACTCTGACAATGCTGCCCAGACTCTGACATCTCCGCCTGCCACGAAGAGACAAAGCCCCAGCGTCAAGCATGCGACGACCACGACTTCGGTCAAAGAGTGGCGTTTCTTGGAGATCAAAATCCCCACCAGCATCACCGGTAGCATCTTGAAGGTTTTCGCCACCGTCTGTAGGATCAGGCTCACATAGCGCAAGGATTCCTGACAAGACTGGGATGGGACGCACGGCATCGTTTGCAACACCGTTTCGGAGTGACGTGACGGAACCCAAAACCCTTCAGTGTTTGCTCTTGGAACTCCGCCTTTTTGGTGCATGAAGGACCAGTCTGCCCCTTCCGCCATTTCCATGAACCACCTAGAACCTGCGTGACCTTTATTTTAAACCACCCAAAATATGGTCCTTCCACTCTGCGTGTGAGCAGCTGTGGCCCTTAAGTGCGTCCCCCATACTTGGTAGCTGTGCGGTGGCGATCGGTATGGGTTCATGATTGGAAGGGCCATTCATCGCGAGAGACTCTCTTCTTTTTTCACAGATCCTCTCGCGGCCACAAATCGCGAGGCATGGTTCAAAAAGAATGAGACGTCGATGACCATCAGCCACAGATTACGATGCTCACAGGGTAAAGATTGGCGACATGTCGCGGCTGCCCAGCTGAACAGCTGAGGGTTTTCTCCATCGCAACTCATCATGGCCCCGAGTTGGTTCTATTCTGACGTGCTGTAGAACATGACGCACTGTGTGGCAGGAGGTCTATTATCCATGAAACAACATGAAACAACTGGATAGTTGTGGCAATGATCGGGGTTTAGGTGCGGAAAAGACTCGTATTGGCACCACGTTGAAAGCATGTTGGAAAAGGACACGACCACATATTTCCAGAGCGTAGCCTGCTTTCTCCAACTCTCTCCTTTGCAAGTGATCATAAAGAGCGCATAGACCTGAGTCGGGCATCTTCTTTCCTCCACATCTGTCCAATCCCCTCCAGACACCGAAGGCCAGTTGGACCGATCCAATCCAACTCAGTGGTTTGACCCAGTTCGGAATGAAGGCGCCCAAGGCATTGGTCGTGACCTGGGGGGGGCAAGAAGAAAGGACCCCGGCGTTCTTGGAGAAGTTCCCCTTTTTGCTTTGGACCCCATGACATCCCATGACCCATCTTCCCACCAAACCGCTCCATCAAACCTGGAACGTCCGACCCCATCCCACCCGGTTCTTCGGCCCCGGCGATGGACACCAGGCGATTACACAGGACCAAGAACATGGTCGCCTCGCCGCGCTGGGTTCCGCCGTTCGCTCGGCGAACGGCCCGGGCGCTGCAGTCTTCAGCGAAGGGATGCAAGGGAGGGGGGGCCATTCGCAAGCGGAGCGCGATCACAACTCTCGGACCGGTTCCAGGAACAGCGTGGGATCATCTCCGTGGAGTCCGTGGCTCAAACTGTGCGGAAACTGCTGGTTTTTCTTAGGTGGCCACATAGCATGGCACTTGGGTCGCTTGGTCAACCACGCTTCGGGCCTTAAAGATTTCTCCATCGTAGTCCTTTGAGACGATGCGCTCTTGTAGAAAACCTGGGTCGACGGCGGGATGAGGATGGGACAGCCCACCAGGATCAGCTAAAAGTTTTGAAAGGTTACCTATGGTTCCCAGCCGACCTGAACAACTGAAGACTCTATGCCTCTTGTTGTTGGGCGCAACATGGAGAAGGAAAGCTTGCACAGCCCCAGCATGTTCACACCATGTTCCAAATGTCCTCTTGGTGAACATTGCCTCCTCACGGAGGTGAGGAAAGGTGGTGGGTGCGTTACCCAGAAATCTGGGAAGCAGCTGTAGGCACCGATGGTCACCAGAATGCCCAGACCGTAGTGGAGAAAAGCCGCCCACTCCTGGGCAGGTGGTCTCAAGTGATGCAAAAGGCCCTTACATTCTGACGAACACATTGACATGGAAGTGGCTCCCTTGGAAGACTACTTTCCTTTACGAACGGGGGGTTTTCCACTTCCATGTGATGTGTTCGTCGGAGTGTCAGTGAAGCGTACGCCTTTAAAATCGAAAAAAGACAAACTCGTGCCTAGCTTTGAGAGAGGCAAGCAGATACATATCTGCTCCGACATGTCGCTTTCTTTTGGGTGTATACAGTGACATCGCTTTTACAACTCCATACAAATCGCTGGTCGCATTCTCCACATCCTTAACTCAAACCCTTGGCAAACCACCCGAAAATCAAACATCTAAATGGGAGAAGGCAGTGTTTAGTGTGCAGTTTCTGACAACCACGGTGAAACTGCCGGCGAACCACTCAGAGAGAGAGAGAGAGCGCGAGACCCAGCAGGTCTGCAACCATCACTTCACATCGCTTCTGCTTCACCCAGCTTCACTCCGCCTACAGGACCCGCTTGATATGGACCCGCTCCGCCGCTCGGTCCATCCCGCTCCTGGATGGTCCTCTCTTTGGAGAAGGCAGGACAGGACGACTTCTGGGGCTTCATCGGCTTCATTGCCTCTGGAGAAGTGGAAGTGGCACACTCCTCGTCCTGCAGAAGGTTTGGCAGAGATCCTTCTGAGGATTCCAGGCTCTGGCATTGCCAGGCAGCGAATCGAATGATCAGGCCTGTAGTTCATGGTGAGACCATCATGACCCAAGCCAAGAAAAGGTTGGCACCCCGTGCAAATCTATTCGGTCATATTATTTTGGGACCTGTATACAGTGGGAGGGCTCTATACATCAATGCCAAGTGCTCCGACCGTGCAGGATGCACTGAAAAAAGGGAGACCAACCAAAACCACCCAAAACCCCCCGCACCGGGTCGAAGAGTCGAATTGGCCTCTCGTGGTCTTCCAATGATACAGTACTGTGATCTTTCCTTCATCACTCCCGGAGACGCTCTCCTTCCCTGGAATTGACAGCACCACATCGCGAGACGTGATCGTCATCCCTCCTCGCCATCGTCATCCCTCGCAACCATGCCGCTCGCATGGCCATCGGCATGGGAGCAACATGTCCAAAAACGCACGGCGAAGGAGCCCCAATTCTGTGGATGTATACACCCTGAGGACTTCCAAAGAAAAACCTACAGTATAATATCTACAGCCCTCAATTTTTTGGGATTGATTGGGGAGGGATGGGTTTTGGGTTCTTCAGGACCTTCCCATATTTGGGTTTCTTTTGGGGGTCTCCTATCTATGGAAGCTTGCTAGCTTGTGCAGGCTCTCAAGCTGATAGGCATGTCTGAGGACATGGGCTGTCATGTCATCTGATCTCTTGTGGATTGGAAGATCTCTTCAGGCCGTTCACTCTCAACTCCAGCTGTGCCATGGACCCGAACTCAAACCGCCGTTTCCGCGTCTAAGCTTGAGCCATTGTGCCGTTGCGCACGACATCTCCGGATGTGAAGACTCCAATGCCTCCCAACCCAACTAGCAAGTACGCCGTTACCCTGAAATATTCCACCCAAGCCATGCTTGGCGTTAGCCAGCTCCCTGGCCACGCCGCGTTCGCCGTGCCGCCGTCACGCACCGGTTCCCCCCAGGCGTCCCGGCTGCTTCAAGGCCTTGCCGTACTTCTTCTGCCGGTAGTAGCTACGGCCCACCTCAAGCTCCGAGCGGCTCCACGCGGCGCCGGTGCAAGAAACAAACCCAGCTAGACTGCGAATGGAGGTGTTCATGAATGTTGGAAGACCATTTTTCCAGGACGTGGGAGTGAAAGACCTTCGCATCTGCAGGTCGGTCTCTGTGCGTCTGATCTGCGCATGGAAGTGGATGGCACGAACTTGTTTGTAGAAGAAAATGGTCATGCGGGGCCATGTGTCACTTCCATCATTGTTTCAGGAAGTGGATATCTTCGGATTTGGTCCGGTCTGAGACGAGCATCTCCAAGCCTGGTCCTCGCGGTGCCGCCCAAAGCAGAACACTCGCGGCGGCGGACGCCCAGAACCCACCCAGCCCCACCCAACGTCCCGGTCTGGGGGCCCGTTGCGGCGGACTCGTACCACATGCACTGCATCTCATGGAGGTTCGCCGCCTGGCACACGTGCGAACTCACAGCGGTGGACAGCGACCCGCCGGCCATGTCATGGAGCTGGCTCGGAGAGGGCGAGACACTCCATTTGCTGCCGATCCGGAGGTGTTTCCAAAATTCTGGGGGTCTTTTGCAGTGTCCAGTGTCCAAAGAGCCCAAATTCACTCGGTTTGAAAGAGAGCCAACGTCGAAAAGAGCAGGGAGTTGCTGAGCTCCAACTCCAAGCCGCACAGAACACCCGAACATGAACAAACCAAGGCCTCTTGGAAGTTTCGGTATCGAAGGTACAGCTTTGGGGGGTTTTGTTTGGGTTCCGTGTGTTGCGGTGTTTCACCGGCACGAGACTTCGAAAACCATTTTGTAGACATGGTCGAGCAGGCTTTGGTCGTGTAAAAATCCTTCAGTGGATTCAGGCTATTCAATCAACTGGTTGGAATGCTACAGGGCCTTCTAAGCACCCCCACCCCAAGAAGGAAAAAAAGCAACCAAAAAAGCATCACTTTGACGCTCCCACGAATGACTCCCCTCCCCAAAACCGCCTCTTGTGAGTCGGGCTCCTTGGAGAAGAGAAGTGCCTCCCATCTCACAAGGCCGGAGACGGTGGAAGGACTCAGGCTTCCAGGTTTGAAACCGGAACTTCAGCCTTGCCTTGGCGAAGGCGGCCAAGGGCGAAGATCGAACCAAATCAGACTGGATGAATATTTCTTCAAGACTTGGGATCATCATGGATCATCCTTTGCATTCCTTTCCTCTGATCTTCCCTTCCGTTCCTTCTTCTCCACTCGATGTTCCCACGGAAACATTGACACGACGTTAGTGGTGCCCCGCATCGGCGGTGCTCCGCGCTGGGCCTTCTCCATTCCCTGCTGGGTCTCATCGATCCTCAAGAGCGCCCTGGCTGAGCAGGGGATTCGGCAGGGCTCCAGGCAGTGAGTGTGGGTGATCTTAGTGGTGGTCTTCAGCTAGGGATTTTTCATGCATGCGTGGGTGTCTTTCTTCCTTCGACGCGTGGCATCACATGTTCCTGGACCTTCATCTGTTCCACCGCTGGACTTGTGTTTTTCAACATGTCCTCCGATCCCTACGTCTCCAGCTCCTTCACAGACCCCTGTGGCCCCACTCGGCCGAAAAGAAAACCAACAAAGATCACGCGCCGCGGTTCCACCGTGGGCGCCGAACTGGCGGCGCTTCAAACCCCCCACCGCCTGACGCACTGCGTATTGAGGTATCGGTCGGCCAAGTCCATCTCACGGACCTGCGACGGGAAGGGCCGTCGAACGTGTGGGGAAAGGTGGTCGCGACACCCCGAAAAGAGTCGGAAGCAGCTGAGTGCAGCGATGGCACCGAGTTAGAGGAAGGTTGGAGATCAGATGGAAAAGTGTTCGTGTTGGCTTCAAATGAATGTGGGTGGGCTTGCCAGTTGGCACTTGTCTGGCCACTAAAAGATTGTTTCAAGTGTGGCGCTTGCTGTTGTTTGTTTCTCCAAATCATGCTTGATCGACACGCCGAAGAGAACTTGTGGTTGTTCCCTCTTCAAGCTTGAGGGAAACCATAACTGCAGCTCTGCCCCGAGACCCTTCTCGTGAAAACCTCAACCGGAGCAAGAGCTGAACTACAGCCCTTACCTCTGCAAGATGCAACCCTTTGACGAAAGTATGATTGTGCATCACATGGTGTGAAAAGTCATAGGAATTTGTGCCTCTGTGGTCCCAATAATATATATTCTGACACACTCCTTGGATTCAACTGCTTGCTATTGTAACTAACTAACTAAGTAACTAACGAACCTATCCAACCTAACTAACCTACTATTCTAAGTATCCTATCTATCCTAAACCAATAAATAAACAAACAAATTATATACTGTAACTTGCTCCCTCCCGCCCTCCCCCCCCCTCTCTCTCTCTCTCTCTCTCCCTCCCTCCCTCCCTCCCTCACTACCTTGCACCCTCTCAAAACCCGTGTTCTCCAACCTTCCGAGACCACTAGGTCACTGGGATTCACCGTTCACCCACTTCCCGAGACCACCTCCTCGTAGCACTTGGCCGAAGTCTCCAGGTCACCAGCCTGAGCAAACATCGAGGGTTTTGCTTGGGAAGATCACAACCCATTTCCCCAACTGAAGTCACAAGCGAACAAAAAGTGTCACTTAATAGCCCCTTAGTGAAGGGTGTCTATCACCCGTTGAGGGTCAGGTGCTCAAACACCAAAGTAACGGTGACGCCTGCCAAAAAACAGAAACGGACCAGCCCATGAAGGAGGGTCCTACCCAGACCGCCCCTAGAACCCTTGGCACTAAAAAACAAAACAACGGGGCGCTGCTTGGCTTTCTGGGTCGCTCACGTGCTTGTAGATCCGAGCCTGACCAACTCGTGGACTGACCAAAGCAGGAGAGTCTGAGCTGCTCACACCGCCGGCAGAGATTCAGGCGGCATCTCAGGCAATGTTACCACCCAAAAGGGGGAACAACCGGTGACCAAGATCGAAGATCGCCACAAACAAGTTCCTTCTTCAAGGCAAAGGTTCACCATTTGGAAATGATTGCACCTCCCCATCGACCTATGAGAACTCAGCTTGCCATTCTCCCTTCACCTCACCAACTCCAGACATCGACGTTCCACATCTCACACACATGGAAAAATGGCCGGAGAGACCAGCTTCAATAGCCACCCTTTCCCCTTACCATCCATTTCCTACTTTCATGCCTAGCGAATACCAGGGTACATAGAGCTTCTACTCCGGCCTTGCATGCATAGAGTTCCACCAAGGTGGGTGTGTGCTCGATGGCTTCATTCCCGTACTCCAACGCCTCGACTCGTCTCGCTTCGGCCACAGGAGTGCCAGGTCGGGGAAGCAAACAGAACCTTCAAACCACATGTGTTCGGCTTCAAAACACGTGTGTTTCATGTGTTCGCAGGTAGGCAGGTAGGAGTGGGAGGATAGTGACAGTAGTTGTAGCAATAAGAAAATAGCAGTAGTAGCAGCATTTATTAGTAGTTGATTAGCTCAGTAGATTAGTAGTAGATTAGTAGTAGATTAGTCATAGATTAGTCGTAGATTAGTAGTAAATTAGTGGTAGATTGGTAGTAGAGTAGTAGGAGGTGGAGTAGTAGTAGTAGTAGTTGTTGTTGTTGCTGTTGTTGTTGTTGTAATTGTTGTTGTAGTAGTTGTTGTTGTATCTGAACTCTGCATACTTACAACTCGCACGGTTAGGTGAGCCCACGCGCACGCGCAGCTCGTTGCCGCCCTTGTTCAACCAACCCCCGTGGCTATTTCTGAGGCTGCCTGGAAAAACCCTCATCAGCACAGCTCTAGATGGAGAAACATGCCAACTCAAAATGGGTGCCCCCAGCCTCTCAAAAAAGATGCTTCCTAGTCCGACATTTCTATGCACACATAAATCTTCCAAACGTGTCCAAAAACCCTTTACAAGCCAATGTCCGTTGGCAGAAAAACTGCAGGCAAGCGCGGTCAGATGACGGCATGTAAAGCCAAGCAGCGGGCCAGTCAGACTATGTGTGCAAAATTGTTCAACAAAAGTAGAGAGCCAGTTGCCTAATGGGTATGGCTTGTGTCTTTCCAAATAGCTGTAACAGTGACCACGAAAAAAGCACGAAAAGCATACCGTATGGCGTTGTCTTGCCAACTCATTGGTGACTTTGTTCACTTTGATTGTTCGAATCCATCCTGGCTCGCTGTTTACTTTGCTTGCTTTGAATCCTTCCTTGTTTTTCTTCTTTGGTGGTATGGACGCTGCGTCGCCTCATGGCAGCACATGCCTGGCGTCTTTTTATCCATGGCACAGCACGTGTGCCCCAGCCTTATGCGTCTCCCCCATGAAGTCGAAATGCTCTGCCAGAGTCTGCGCAGCGTGCCGAACATCCGCAAACAAACGGTGAATCCGGACCTATCTGGGAATATCAACATTCTGATGACTTGTTGGTCATGGCCAAAGCTCTGTTGACTCTGGTGGAGTGACTTCTGCAGGTCCATAGTATGCAAAGGAAGCACAAATCGCCAAGCTACACCACCGCAGGGACCCCGGCCATCAAGGTGAACAGCAGCGCAGTGGGGGGTTCTTCGTCGCTCATCTGAGCGAAGGTGGCGGATGGGATGGGACGGATGGGACGGATGCGCATGGAGCTTGCAGCCTTACTTTGAGTGAATGGCCCAAGTCCACTCGAAAGATTCAACGGACGCCCATCTAGTTGGGCTTTGCCAAAAAGTGCTCAAACTACAACGCTGAGTGCTCATGTTCGATTCTATGTACGACAAGCCTAGCTCCCTTTCCCTTGATTCACACGACACCCAGGTGCCACGAAGGGGTCTCGCCGGTTGCTACGAAGCGATGCTTTTTCTTTTCGGTCCAAAGTGGCAAAGGTGGACCCGAAGGTTCGTCCACCGAAAATCACAAGAATACCGTCAACACCATGGTGTCTCGGTCTTTTCCCTATCCAGGCTAGTGTCCGTAGCCTGGATGGAAATCAGGACTGGATGGGATCACCAGGTTCAGCCCTAAGGGCCGCAAAGGGGGGACGAGCCTCTGGGCCTCGTGTTGAAGGCCTTCCTTTCAATCAGCAGTGATACCCTGTACTGTAGAGTCTGTAGGGGTAGGGGAGGTTAAAGAAACCCTTTTTGCATCCATGGACATTCTATATAGCGTACGCCGGATGACAGTCTACGACTCTTCTGTCTCTGACATTCTACCATTCTACCCTAAACCCCACTAGTAGCTTCTTGTTCCTAGTAGTAGGGCCAGGAGCCCCTAGTAGCGTCTTTGTAGTAA